GTTTTATAAAGTTTATTTTATGTGTATGTATTTTTCAGTTTGGGCTTCCCAGGTGGTGCTAGTGGTAAAGAACCCTCCTGCCAATGCAGAAGACTTAAGAGATGCTGGCTCCATCCCTGGATTGGGAAGATCTGCAGGAGCACATGGCAACCCACTCCAGTATTCTTGCCTGGAGAATCCCTTGGATGGAGGAGCCTGGCAGGCTGCAGTCCATGGGGTTGCAAAGAGTTGGACATGACTGAAGGGACTTAGCATGCATGCACACACATGTTTTTAAGTTATTGAGTAACTACATGATCTCACTAAAAGATGTTACACCATTGAACATCTACAAAGTAAACATAAGTCCTTGTACAAAATACTCTGTTTACTATGAGACTCACCATATGTGTGGGGAACAAATATATCATTTCTTTCTTATTTAATCATTCCAAGTTCTCTTCGCTTATTGGCAGGAATCCCATCAGTTTCCATTGACACTTGTTTTCTCCTGACTTTTAAGTGTTCAAAAGAGCCAAGAGGCTTACCGGGTGCAAAGGTAAGTCAGCTTTCTCCTGACATCAAAAGTAGAAGGATCTGGAGACTAACAAAACCCTAGAGTTGTCACCATTAGAGCAGAATCATGCAGTCCTTTGGAAACTTGTGCATAAGGTAATACCCAGTCCACATGTCTACACGGCTTCTAACATGGTGCCACTTGTGGGCTTCAAGTTACAGCTCTGTTATTTAACACGCATATATACAGCCAATATTCCCCAAGGTAAATTTCTTTTTTTTTTCCCCAAAGAAAATTTCTTGTCAAGTATTTGGATTTATAGCAACTACCAGAAGTAGCTACACTTCAAACTATGTTTACTTTAGGAACTCAAGTGCCCCCCCACCCCAAGGTGATGTTATTTCTAGGAAACTTACTAAATGTGCCTGCTACTGATCTTGGTTGGAGATTTGTAATTCACTAAAGAACTCTTCCTAATACTGAAATGAAAGCCCTATTCTTGTTAACTCTCAAGTTCTTGGATTACGTATTTCTAAAGGGTAGAGATGGGGGGCTTCCCCGATGCTCAGCAGGTAAAGAACCTGCCTGCAGTGCAAGAGACAAAGGAGATGCAGATTCAATCCTTGGTTAGAGAAGACCCTCTGGAGGAGGAAATGGCAACCCACTTACTACTACTGCCTGAAAAATCCCGAGAATAGAGGAGCGTGGAGTCCAGAGAGTGGGACGCAGCTGAGTGTGAGCACAACAAAGGGAGAGACTAGAACCGGAGCCCATGTCATACTTCTCAACAGCCTAAACTTAGTGGCTGCAACGCAAGAATGTTAAATAAAAAGATGATCATATATCAAGTGAAAGAAAGGCAAAGTTTTGTTTAGGTGCTTCCAAACAGGATTAGAATGGTTGGGCAAAGCCCTTCTTTCCCTTCCCAGTAAACATTTTACACACCAGGGCTCACAGGAGTTGCAATCTTGCCCATACCATAAAGGAGTCTGTCAAGAGCTAAATGGCCATACTAAAAGGCTCCTAAGTAAGGTCTGTTCCAGATAAAGTCTCAGTTTGTATATATAAGAAACTATGGTTTTAAAGACTTTATTGTAAAGACTTCCTTTAAAAGGAACCTTTTGTGAAACGTCCTTGTCTTGGCAGATATAGTCTACCCTGTCGAAATACATAATCCAAGAAACTTGAGAGCTATCAAGAATAGATTTCTCCATGTCACTGCAAATAGCATAATTTCATCCTTTTTAATGACTGAGTAATATTCCACTGTATATATGTACCACTCTTCTGACTTCATTCATCTGTCAATGGACATTTCTGTTGCTTCTCTGTCTTGGCTGTTGTGAGCAGTGCTGCAGCAAACGTTACAGGGCGCATGTGTGGTTCAGTGGTAGGTTCTCACCGTGTGGTTCAGTGGTAGGTTCTCACCTGCCATGCAGGAGGCCTGGCTTCAATTTCTGGCCCAGTGCAGCCACTGCATCCCCTTTTTAGGACTTCCTGGTAACTCAAACGGTAAAGAATCTGCCTGCAAAGCAGGGGACCAGGGTTTGATCCCTGGGTTGGAAAGATCCTCTGGAGAAGGGAATGGCAACCCACTTCAGTACTCTTGCCTGGAGAATTCCATGGACAGAGGAGCCTGGCAGGCTGCAGTTTGTGGGGTTGCAAAGAGTCGGACACAACTGAGCGACTAACGCAAACATCACAGAGCATATATCCTTTCAAACTGTGGTTTTCTCCAGATACACGCTCAGCACTGGGATCGTTGGGTCATAAGGTAGCTCTGTTTTTAGCTTTTTGAGGAACCTCCACACTACTCCCCTCGGTGGCAATTTACATTCCCACCAACAGTGCAGGAGAAGTCCCTCTCCCCCCCTCCAGCACTCACTGTTTGTAGACTTTCTGATGATGGCCCTTCTGACTGGTGTGAGGTGACATCTCATTGTAGTTTTGATTATCATACAAAGTGAAGCAAGTCAGACAGAGAAAGACAAGTGTCTTGATATCACTTATATGAGGAATAGAACCAATAGATACAAATCAATTTACCCAACAGGTACCGAGTCATAGACTTAGAAAACAAACTTATGGTTCTCAAAGGGGAAATGTGGTGGGGGGGATAAGTTGGGAGTCTGGGACTGACTTGTACACACTGTTATATTTCAAACAGACAAGCCACAGGGACCCACCGTTTGGCTGGCGGGCCAGGGACTGCTGCTCAGTAATCCATAATAACCGAAATGGGTAGAGAATCCCAAACAGAATAAACATGTATGAATAACTGAGTCACGTTGCTGCACAGCTTAAACTGACCCAACAGTGCTGATCGACTATGCTCCTGAAAATCTTAGAAAGAGCTGGTTTCCAAGAGCTCCTAGGTCTTCAATCTCTGACTTTTTCCTTCCAAATATATTTATTCATGAGAAATAAACTTATTGATTCATGAGTCTAGGGTAAACCATATATCCAGGGATTTAATGGTGAATTGGACTTGTCCATAACAAGCTCATATTTGAGTAGACATGTCAACAAAAAACAAGGTGGGAACTATGAACAGAGTCTAAGGAAAAACAGTAAGTGGCTGAGTGCCTGCACAAGAGCATCAGCATAAAAATAGGATTTGAGCTGGTTCTAAGCTAGCTGTGAGCCCGGTCAGACTCCACACCTGCCATGCTCTTAATTAGTAGCACTGACTTCTTGATCATACGTGGTTCAGCATTATCTCCTTCCTCTCTCACACCTGTCTTCTGGAATATATAGGCTTTTTCTCAAATAATGGAAGATTGCTTTTCAAGAAATGATAGAATTATATTTGTGCTTCTATATTAGAGCCTAAAGATGTGCTCTGAATATTCATCTGAAAAAGGTACTGAATGATTCCTCGGGTGAAGACGAAGCAGAGCCATGTCAGGAAGAGGGAGATATGTATATTTATCTAAAAATATTCAGAGGGAAATTAAAGGCAGTAGCAGGTTTGCGAATAAATAAAATAATTTCACTGGGATTTCTGAAAGAGAGCCTACCGTTGTTCACTATAGGAGGGGGGAAAAAGAGTTAAGGGCGAAGGAGAGGAGTTGTGAGCTATGTCTAGAAAGATAGATCGTGAGGTCCTTCTGTGCATGATAGTTTCAAAGAGAAGGTTTTATTCAGGGGGGCATACAGTGGAGTTTGAAATTTAGGGAGATAATTAGGCAATACAGAAGACGGGCTAAAATGAGAAGGGATGTCAATAGAAGTCTGGTTAGGGGAAGATTGCAACAAGGATAAGGTAAATATTGCAGCATTTCCAACAAAAAAGCAACTGGATTAGAAATCCTGTGAATTGGAAAATATAGGATTTGGTGATTGATTCAATTGTATGGGGAAATAAGTTAGAGTCTACCTTGGACATGTTGGTGGATAGTGATTCCATAGTCCAGACTAGTGAGCAAAGAGGAAGCCTAGATTGTGATGGATGACTGAGGATGGTCACACATGCTAAGCTTTAGAGGCCAGAAGGAAGTTCTAACAGGTGCATAAAGAAATTGAAAATAAGAGTCTGGTGCTTTACATGCAATTGGTAACTAGAGAGCAGAACATAAGTAGTTAACATTGTAAGTATAGTAGTCACAGCCATGGCTGTCTAAATATAGAAAAATAATTTAGAAATGAGATAAATAGAAGGTCCAGGATGAAACCTAGAGAACATTTAACTGATGGCAGAGAAAGAAAATCCAAAGAAGGAAATTGAAAATGTCTCATTAGAGATGTAATAAAACACAATTTTCTTTTAAAATGAACTTTCATTCATTGATTAAGTCATTTTACAACATTTACTGTATGCTTACCATATGCCCAGGAACTTGTTAGAATTGGGAACAAAATTTTTCACAAGGAAAACATACTTCCTGCTTTGTTAAGAGTTTGCATAAAAGAAAGAAAGTGTGTGTCTGTGAGAAGATGAGTTAAAGTTTGGACAGTCTTGAGTTGGACTATATATGAACATAAACAGACTAGACAAGAAAACAGAGGCTTTTTAGAGACAAACAGAAAAGGAGGGAAGAATGGAAAATTAAAGAAAAAGCAAGGATACAGAAATAGAAGAAGAAGCAGAAGAAATTTGTCTCCAAAATACAAAGGGCTAAAAGGCTTTCATGATATGCTGTGGTAAGGGAAACAGGCAGTGGGATTTGTTACAAAGGAGCTTATTGTTAACTTTAGAGAGCGTATAATAAAAGAAGAGACAAAAAATAAAGTGCATAATTCTGTAAGAAAATTTATTCTGTTTTTCAACAAATAACAAGAAATTAATTGGATGTAGAAGAAACTGCTACAAATTAATAGAATCAACTGACATGTGTGGGATTTATCTAGATTCAGTCTTCAAAAATGAGTTGTAAAACATCTTTATTAAAAATTAAAAAAAAATCCTTAGACAATTTAGGAAATATGAACATTGGATGTTTTATGATGCTATTTTTTAAATTTTGTATATGTGAAATTGGTATTGTGCTTATGTTTTCAACAGAACTGATCTTTTGGAGTAACACATTGATGTCTGAATGAAACATGGGTGAGTTTGTGATTTCCTTATCCAACAATGAGCATATGGAGTTGGGGGAGGGGCAGGTTTGTGGGATGCAGATCGGTTCTGTGCTGATAATTGTTAAATCTAGTGACTTAGGGAAGAGATTTTGAAACTTTTCTCTCCTGTGATTATCTGAAATTTTCATAATAAAAAAGAAGTAAAATGATCAGAAACATACAGACTATAAATGAGAAATAATTAAAATTAAATGAATCATTTCTCTTTCTTCAAAAAGTTTGCTCTAAGTATATTGGAAAAGTTTACCCCTGGAAAGAATATAAAACAGTGGCAAAGAGTAGGCTTGCTTATTTATTATTTATATAATATTTGCTGAGGCCTAGGCAATGTACTAGACAAAAAGAATATACACAAAAGACATAACTTATGATAAAGGGCAAAATCTGGAGAAATGTGTTCTTTTAAAAGTGACTGCAGTTAGGAAATGTAAGAAATCACTGAATGTTAAAGAGGTGTCAGTGAGGCACTTAGACCTGTCCTATCAACATGGAACCACTAGTCACATGTGGCTGCTGAACCTGTGGCTGTGGCTAGCAGGACTGAGAAACCTAAGGTTTTAATTTAATGTAAATTTATATACATTTTAGAATTTAAGTAATGTAAAACATTTTGGGATTATGCAACTTTGTTATTCTGGTAGAATAACAATTCACTTTAACTGTTGGATCATGTAAGATATTATTGTTATTTTATAGTACACGTGCTGAGCTCCGTCATCATTTCAAAGGTTACACATAAACCTGTCATCAATCCAGTTGTTGTCCACAGACTGATTCAGTTTGAATGATTTCATTTTCTAAGCACCAGTTTAATACTGTAATGTGTTTATTTGAATATTTTTTGCAGACAGAAAGAGTTGCAGTGGTATCTGTGTAATTGGCAATTAAATAGAACTATTTATTATAATTATAATGTAATTCAATCATTTTTAATTAAAATATAAATATGGCAATTAAAACTAGCTGCAGGAGAACAAAATGAAAAAGTTGCTTGATTTGCAAAAACAATCAGGGTAGGAGGACAATGCTTAATGGACATAAAAAAATTGATAAGAAATTAATCTTATTAGCCAAAGAATAATTGAAGAAATTAGTTATTTAAAATAAAAATTAAATATCCCCCAATTTTATAAATTATTGTTTACAGAATCTAAGATTATAATATTGGCTAGCTATAAAACAGCTTAGGTTTTTCAGTTCAGTTCAGTTCAGTTCAGTTCATCGTTAGGTTTTTACACACAGACAAAAATCCAATTTTAGATAAGAGACAGTAAAATAAACCATTATTTCAGTTAGGAAAATTTGATTACTGAGTGATGAGGAAAATATTTTAATTTTTAAAAATTGAAAGATATTCAGTTCAGCAAACTACCGACTGCTCATATTACACCTTTCCACCAATATCAAAGTTCAGTTGATTCAAAATTTGAAAAATTACAAATGCTTTTCTTTTTGCCTAGAACAGTGATGGATTATAAAACACACCACCCAATTAAATACCTGGGCATGTTTTGTCTCAATGGACTATCAAATTTATGAGGCAATGTTGCCAATTTGCACTCTAAAATACCAACCTTAGGGCATACATACTTTTGACTATTTTATATCTCTCAAAAAAGGATTTTAGCTAGATATGGAAAAAAAACTGATTTTTATTACTATGAAGGGTGCCCTATACTAAGTTAAAAGCATGGATTTATTATGCTTTTAAAATAAGAGATTGATAGCTCACTTATTGCTTCATTGCACTTTGTGATACACGTTGAAAATACACTTAAGTTTTGGAAATATACTGTGAAAAGTGTCATAAATATATGAATCAAAATCAATTTTTGGAACTTCTGAAAAAAATTAGAGAATATATTTAAGGATCTTCAGTTCTTTGCCAGTGCTCATTGATTGGCCCATGCATGCTAAGTCTCTTCAGTCGCAGCTCTCTGCAACTCTCTGGACTGTAGCTCAACAGGCCCCTCTGTCCATGGGATTCTCCAGGCAAGAATACTGAGTGGGTTGCCATTTCCTCCTCCAGGGGATTTTCCCAACTCATGGATTGAACCCGAGACTCCTGGGGCTCCTGGAAGACTTTTTTTAAAAGGTTTATTGTACTGTTAAATTCAAAATTTTCTTGAAACAAAAAAAGTGTTTGCCAAATATTCAATTGTGCTTAATCGCTCAGTCGTGTCCAACTCTTTGCAACCCTTTGGACTGTAATTCTCCAGGCTCCTCTGACCATGGGAATTTTTAGGCAAGAATTCTGGAGTGGGTTGCCATTTTCCTCCTCCAGGGCACCTTTATAACCCAGAGGTGGAACCCGCATCTCCTGCATCTCCGATATTGCAGGCAGACTGTTACCCACTGAGCCACTGGGGAAGCCCATAAACATTCAATAATTAAAGACAAAATAGTCACATGAATTAAAATTTCTTGTACTCCATATGAAGAAACTAAATTTAAAGCTTCAAAGAAAAGAGGAATTTATTTTTGAGCTGACTAGACAGGCACTAGAATTTCTTTTGAAATTAAGACTTGAAAATACAAATCAATGTTAAATTTACAAATTTTTCTAATATAAATCAATATGCACAGTGAATCGTGCTATGCAAATCAGCTGCAAAATTACAAGAATAATTTTTAAAGGATTTGTTCATATTGTCAAATTCAGAATCTCTCTTCAATTTTTGGAGTGTCTCTTTGAACTCAATGTTAGTAATCTCAAAGTGACACAAGAATTGTGAATTTACATAACTTGGACAGATAATGCTTTTGCTTCAGAGTCAAATAAACTCTCCTACAAAAGGCGGACACATTTTATCAATACAGGTATGAAAATTAAAGGAAAATTACTTTTTCATTTTCACTTCAATTATTGGAAAAATTATTTATACTGGGAATGACTCGAATATGTAAATCTAGTCTTTCAACTACAAATGTTATGAGCTAAATAGAGATCAGTCATATCCAATGAAAATTTAGCATCTGAATTGAGATGCGCAAAAGGTTCAAACTGCATAGCAGATTTTAAATACTTCGCACAAGGAAAAGATTAAATATCTCAGTATTTTTGAGTTGATTACATCTTGAAATTACAATATTCTAGATTTACTTGGCTAAATGAAGTATGTATCAATATAAGTCTCTTGCTCCTTGGAAGAAAAGTTATGACCAACCTAGACAGCTTATTAAAAAGCATAGACATTACTTTGCCAACAAAGGTCCTTCTAATCAAACCTATGGTTTTTCCGGTGGTCATGTATGGATGAGAGAGTTGGACTACAAAGAAAGCTGAGCACCAAAGAATTGATGCTTTTGAACTGTGGTGTTGGAGAAGACTCTTGAGAGTCCCTTGGACTTCAAGGAGATCCAACCAATCCATCCTAAAGGAAATGAGTCCTGAATATTCATTGGAAGGACTGATGCTGAGGCTGAAACTCCAATACTCTGGCAATCTGATGGGAAAAACTGACTCATTTGAAAAGACCCTGATGCTGGGAAAGATTGAAGACTGGGAGGAGAAGGGGGCAACAGAGGATAAGATGGTTTAATGGCATCACCGATTCGATGGACATGAGTTTGAATAAACTCTGGGAGTTGGTGATGGACAGGGAAGCCTGGCGTGCTGCAGTCCATGGGGTTGCAGATTCAGACATGACTGAGAGACTGAACTGAACTGACTGTTAGGGTCTCCCCAAATTCATATGTTGAAATCTTAATGCCCAATGTGATGGTGTTAGATGGTATTTTGTTATAGCAGCCCAAACAGACTAAGACTGTTTAAATGCTTGACAAACAGCAGTGAAAAAAATAACACTCTTTTTCTTCACATGGCTGATATTTTAAAGAAAGAAACAGACATTTAGAAATCAATCACCTAATTATTTAAATTACTTCATAAAAGGAGTTTTGAAGAGCAATGCACGCTTTTTTGAGAGCCTATTAGGTGACTTACTAGGTTTGGGAGTTATAAAAGGTTTCCTAGAGAGATCAGTGTTTGAGCTGAGCTCTAAAGCAGGCAGTAATTAGGAAAAGGTGGAAAGGGAGACCATTTTTGACAGGATGAAAGCATATGTTAAATTCTGAGCCAGAAAGAATATAAAACTTTTAAGGAACTCAAGTTGACTTACACGGCTAAAATTAGGAGGGCTAGAAGAAGGTTAGCAGTAGATGAAGTTGATGAATTAGGCAACGACTAATTAGGCAAGGACTAATGGCTTCACCTTGGAAGCCATATGGATGATTTCAAGTTTGTTCTAAAGACAACAAAAAGTATTTAAATGTTTTGGCACAGTGATGGAGGTATGTGTGTATTCATGAAAGTGAAAGCTGCTCAGTCCTGTCCAACTCTTTGCAACCCCATGGACTATACAGTTCATGAAATTCTCCAGGCCAGGATACTGGAGTGGGTAGCCTTTCCCTTCTCCAGAGGATCTTCCCAACCCAAGTATCAAACTCAGGTCTCCCACATTACAGCTGGATTCTTTACCAGCTGAGCCACAAGGGAAGTGTATTCATGAAGTGACATAATTATATTTTTATGTTTCACTTTGGCTCTCAAATGGGAAATACACAGAAGAGAGGAGAGATGAGAAGACAAAAAGGTCAGTTAAAGACATTTGCCAGCTGCAAAATGATATAAATGTGGGCACAGATGATTTTAGTGCAGGTGAGGTAACAAAAAGAGGTTCCACCTATTCAGAAGTGACAGAATTTTAGGTGTGGTATATATGGAGAAACAGAGACACAGATAACTCTCAGTCTGCTAGCTTTCATAATCAGATATGAAATATGGTCATTCACTAGAAAAGAGCATATGGGAGGAGGTGTGGCTTTAGTAGGAAGATAATGAATTAAACTTTGATAAATTGAAATTCCAGGGCACTTTGGCATATAGATAAGACAGCAGACATGTACAGTTAAAAAGGCAGGTCTGAACTATTAAAAGACATCTAGGTAGGAGGAGAGAAAGGTACA